ATATATATGTATACATTTATATGTAGCAATATTGCATGGAAGACTTTATGAAACAAGATTTCATAAAACGTAACAGTACAAAGCATGTTGGCAACTAAAATAGATAGAAAAAAAATTGTACAGCATAAATGAATGATTGTTTCAGCAATCTTATCAAGGCCAAAAATGTCGTTCAATCATCCGATCAAATCTCCATTGGAATTTAAAGTGGATCATGCGTTCTTATACAATATCGTCAAATCGAATCTTGAAATCGGAAATATCGTGAATCTGTTTACTGGATATATAATCGAACCTGTGATAATTTACAAACATATTTTAAAATAGTCTTTATTTGAAACTTAATACAAATCAAGTACTTAAAAAAACATGAACCTGATATGTATGTGAGTAACAGTAAATAAATACGGCAATGCCTGTATACTGTCATTTTTACATCCAGAAGCGTTTAAGAATCTTCTCGCATAAATCAAACTAATAAAAGTAAATTGACTCCATTAAATTAATAACAAATTAATAACAATTAATCATATTTCGGGATAATACGTTTATTTTACATCCCATCCCGTTATCAGCACAAACGACACATTGACACGATTTACATGTATAACAATGTTGCATGAAAGATTTCATGAAGCAAGACTTCATAAAACTTTACAAAGCAATTAAAATAGATGAAAAAAAATTTTACAGCATAAATGAATGTTTGTTTCAGCAATCTTAATGGTAAAATATTCTCGTATCAATCCGATACCTCCATTGGAATTTAAAGTGGATCACGCATTCCTCTACAGTATCGTCAAATCAAATCTTGAAACCGGAAATATTGTAAATCTGTTTACCGGATATATAATCGAACCCACTGTATAATAACTTACAAGTTTTAAAATGGTCTTTATTTGAACTTAACTAGTACAAATCAAGTAACTAAGAAAATATAAACCTGATATGTATCTGAGTAGTAATAAATAAATACAGTATTGCTTGGGTATCATGATTTTTACTTCCAAAGGCATTCAAGAATTTTCTCGCATAAATTAAATTAATAAAAATGAATTAACTTCATTAAATTAATAACAATTAATCATATATCGAATTATATATTTATTTTACACGACATCCCATTATCAAGCGACACATTGACATGGTTTATATGTATTATATGTAACAATGTTGCATGAAAGACTTCACGCAAGACTTGAAGCAAGACTTAATAAGACATTACAAAGCATGTTGGCAATCACAATTGATAAAGAAAGATTTTACTGTATAAATGAATGATTGTTTCAGTTATAAAAATAGGATTTTCAGCCGTTATCAATCCGATACTTCCGTTGGAATTTAAAGTGGATCATGCGTTCCTCTACAATATCGTCCAATCGAATTTTGAGACCGGAAATGTTGTAAATCTGTTTACTGGATATATACTCGAACCTGCTGTGTGATAATTTACAAATGTACTTTAAAATAATCTTTATCTGAAGCTTAATAGAAACCAAGTAGCTAAAAAAACATAAACTTGATATGTATCTGAATGATAATAAATAATTATAGCAATGCTTATGTATGAATCTAGTTACATTGTTTCTTTCTGATTATTTAACTATGTAGTTTATAGATGATTTATCTCCAATTGTTCCTTCTGGAAAATCTACATGAAACTATAAAGCGGAAAAAATCAAAACACAATAGCGTTAAGTTAAATAATATTAAAAATAATTATCATGATTATCAGCTTCATTGCTGTGCATAATTTTTGCGGTTGAATTTTTTGTATGATCGCGAGATTCCTTCCACCTGTTTAACTTTATGTACAAAGTATACTAACATTATATAGCAAAACATAGCTTATAACATGAAACAAGAATTTACCTTAACTTTAACTTTAAAGTAACAGCGGATTATTTTATTTAATTTATTTGGGTACCAAAAACATGCCTGAAGAGAGAGTGGACTGAAGAGTCAAAGAAAAAAAATAAAGTGGAAGTTTTATCAAATATACAAATCGGTGATCTGTTTCAGGAGTCGAGATGGTGAATTATTCTCTTATTATCAACCAAGCAACCGAGGAATTTCATATTGACCGTCCATTCATCTACGCTGTCATTAAATCAAAACCGCAGGAGGAATTTTATATTCCGCTATTCACCGGATACTTGACTAATCCGGAACTAAATTAGTGTTGGCCGATAATTTAAAATAAAACTTAATTGTACCAAATTAATTAAATTTAAATTTATGAACGATTGTAATAGTGATGATATAATAATAATTGTTGACATTTATTGTATCAAGCTACGAAAAAAGTTATCGTCGATCATTCGTAATAATCGTCGCACACAATCGTTCTATTTTTTTTTTTAATTAGATTTTTGGAGTTTATATTTTGACATTTTATTAGAGCATTAATCAAAAATAATTAAAAAGCGCGCTCTTTACTATTTCGAATCCGAGTAAGCAATAATGTATAATGAAATTGTATGTTGTGTATAAAATACAAATGACGTAATCTTTAAAATCACAGTTTAAAAATATAAAGAGTTTTATAAAAATCACAACAATAATTATCATTTGTAATCTTTTGATTTATAATTTTCTGATGTCTTTTCCACATTAAAATCATTTATCATTGCATGTCATCATTGTGCTAATTTTTTGTTACTTTAAACATATTCTCTTAAACAGAGATTTCATTCAAACAGTGCAAGCTGGGAAATCTAAGAAACAACGACGACAATCATGTCAGAAAGATAATTAATTTTGCACAATAACTTTGTGTAAAAACAATTTGCTGTAAGTATTGTTAATTTGTAAGTATTAATAATTTTAAAATTTGAAATATCAGGTAACAAAATTAATTAGGATATATAACGATTTTTTATTTTCGAAAACACGAAGATTAAATGCTATGAAATCGATCGATAACTAATCAAATTATCACGATAAACACGATGTACATTTTGCATGGTTTATCCTTATTATTTGTCTTATCTATATATTTGTCCTATTTATTTAAGTTGCAGTTAATGTATGCTATATTATGCTTTGTATAATATTGTATGTATAAAATGCGTTAAAATAGCATCGTGTTAATATTTAATATATTATTTTGAAATTGTTAATAATTAGTAGTTAATAATTAATAATAGCAAAAAGTTATATAAATATATTAAA